AACGACGACCGCATGTATTTACTTCATCGAAAAATACTACTAATTCGATTTGATTCCATTTTCGAGCTAGTTCAGCAATCGGTGACATAAATTGTTTGAGATCTTTTTCAGTCACACCAGGATGTAGTAAAAGTCGATAGAATATGGGTTTTGCACATGTATGAGATAGATACTCGTTCAAAATCTGAATAGATACCCGCACACTTCATGTACCGACTCTAAGTAAATCATATAATTTGACATTCGCCTCGATTAAAGGTATACTTTCCAATTCCTTTCCGATGTATTCACGTAATGCAAGCAGCAACTGTTTAGTAATACTGGTGGAATTCTTCTGAGATACAGTTAGAATTGTTTTCCAAATATATATTAGCATGTCAGAATCAAATTGATATTTGTTTAATGACTCTTTAAGCTGTGTCAATAGATTAGAATTCATTTTCTCGACAATTTCTGCTTGTTGATACGTTGAAATTTCATTGCACGACACACTGTTCAACATGTTCGAGTTTTCTGTACTATGAAATTGACTATCATTCAGAAAACTCTGACTAACTGAACTTTCTTCATTCGCATTATTGAGTTCAAGGTTGTTAGTTTCTGATGAATTGTGCAATGAGGAATTTTCAGAAATATTTTCTTCATTACTAATGTATTGTTGTTGGTTTGTGTGGTTAGAAGAGTCCTTTTCTTCAACAGCTATCTCTTCAAAACTATAGTCGTGATCATCATCATCAATGTTTACTTCTTCATTAGATTCTTGATGAAAACCTGTCAATTTCCATTTCAATCTCTCAAGTATTTCATGTAATAGATTTGTTTTCTTCTCAAAAAATTTTACGATAGTTGCTAATAACCATAAATTAATACGTTCAATGATTCTCGTACGAAATATCAATTGATCATCACCATAGAAAATATTTGCATTTAACAATAAAGAATAAAATGTAAGAAGATATGTTTTACCAACCCCTGTATCACCCTCAATTATCAATGGAAGTCTTGTGAGTTTTCGTTCATGTATGTGAAGAAGTTTATATGCAAAATTTTCAATTAAAATAAATTTCATTTCATTCATTACTCTTTCACATACATTATATTCGACCCCGATAAGCCATGATAAACATTTGAGAAAATGATTTCTATCCTTAAATTCAGGTCTTGTCAATGGATCAATATTTCTCCAGATTTTTTTCAATCCAAGTGGAACTTGATCCCAATTATTATGTAACAGATGTAATGCAAAACCAGGATCATATATAAGATAAAGACGCGAATAATTATCATCATGAAAACTGATTTGAGCAAGTGACTTGGCTTCATTTAACATTTGTATCAAGATTTCTGAACCGAGATTTTGTATGCGTTCATCTAAAGTAAATAAAAGACTAGTAAAAAATTGAAAACGACGATATAAAAATTTTATGAAGGATATTTCATAAATTTTATTTTTTTGTCGACATGATGAATATTTGTTAATGCAATCGTATATGTACCGGCGACATTCATTTTCATCATTTAATTCTTTGAATTTAATTGGTTCATCGCTCCCTCTGAATTCAAGACAATTAATGATACCGTCTGAGTAAGCTTTAAGAAATCGGGCAACCAATTCTTCTTCTTTACCGATACACAATTGATAATCTTCATTGGTCATAATTTCTTTGGATGATTGAGTCATGATAGCAAGTATTGGTAGCAAATAATCTAGATTTTCGTCTATTCCCATGCCCTGTTCATCAGTATAGGGAATTTCAATAAAACATTGCCATCTTTTTGTAGTTGACAGAGAAAATGTCAGGCCACTAATCGGATCAGTGAGAGATCCACAAACAAATAATGAAAATAAAGCACGATTTAACTCATCGAATGGAGCATGAATGGAAATATTAAAATAAACAGATGAACAATCGTCTGTTATTTGTGAATCAAGTAAAAGAAGTGAACTTATGAGCGATGATAAACTTAATTTGTCATTAATACTAAAGCATAACGTATGATCTTTCTTGTATTTCGTGTTTATTAGATGAGTTTTTCCTACAACAAAAATTCATTTTCATTAAAAGTAAAAAAATATTATGTGACAATTTACCAGTTCCTGCTGCTCCACAAACGACATGAATATATGGTAGTGGACAATTTGTTTTTTGAAACAATGTAACTAATTCAGTATAGACTCGTCTAGAATTTCGATGAATCGACGTCATATGAAAAGGTTTTAAACCTCTTTGATATGTTGTTAACTCTCGTGAAAAGTAATAAACAACCCCATGAGCTTCTCTACATCTAGTTAATGAATCTTGTTCATTTAGCAATACTTCTCGAAGACGTAGATGCATTTTATCGATATCCATTATAATGAAAATCATATTTGGAAAAAATCGAATCCGTGAAAAGAATAATTGAATATCATTTTCGGTTGTTTGTGAGCACCAAAGAATTTGATACGATGATGGTAATTGTTTATTTAACAGACTTAGTAGAATACAGAATGTATCTATGTCTAGCGTATGTTCTGATGAATTTCTATCTGATATAGGATTGATTGAGTTCAGTGAAACAAGGTATTGTTGACTTTCACTATTATTACTTAAAGATCTTTGTATTGTTAATTTTGTAAATTGAAAGAACTCATCAAGAAGACGACCAAGATTCATGAGAAATTTTTCTATACTAGTACCATGTTGAAGTTTATATTTCTTATACAAATCAGGTATTACAGTTTCTGATATATGACAATCATTAATACGTAATGAAAGTAAATAGTATGCTAGACAATTTATACTAAACTTACAGTTTTGGTCTTCATTTATATCGTTGGTATCATTCGTTGAATATAATTTTGCAAAAAGTTTATTTTTTATGTCGTAATCTGATGTTGATTCTGTGAGTAGAATAATCATAATCATGATTTGGCGATCAGAGAATAATTTTAATAGTCGACTTTGATTTCTCCATTCTTCTAATTTATCAATCCAATCATGATATTCACGTTCTAATCTATTGTAGATCTTAATGAATTCATCTGTTCGCGATTGAATAAGATTTTGAAGATCAGTTTCATCTGAATGTTTGTTTTCTCGTAATTTGACTAATATACTATTGAGTTGATCTATTTTAGATATAAAAGTTTTCTTTCTGAGATTATTAAGAAAAAACAAACATTGAAAATTCTTACTTGTTTTAGTATGAATATTATAATGCATATCGATGAGTTGATAATTTGGATGACCATTTGTTTCTAATTTTATGATAGTTGAATGAATGTCTCCAATGATTTTTAATAATTTTAATTGTTCATCCAACAGAATTTTCATATGAGACATGTCCTTGTGTAGGTCAACATTACAAAATGTTAATTGACGTTTATGATCATCAATGTCAGACATTGATAAAGTAAATTGAATTTCGTCTTGTTGTTTATCGATTTTTTCTCCTTTACTATCCATCTCAATGTTATTCTGGTGATTAATGGCAGTTGTTTGTATTTTCTCAATTGAATAGCTAATCTCAAGAGAAGACTGTTCATTCAACAGATGTCGTAGATGAATATTAACTGTGCCGGTTTTGTATAGATGTTCCATCACAATGAGAGCATTATCAAAGACTGTTGTTTCTTCTGCTGTTAACCAGAGACAAACGATTTGGGCATTATCATTCACAACTACACAACAATAAGAAATAAATTTATAATGCAAACTTCACACATAACTGTTGTAGCGAAGCATTCAGCTTCTTCACACTACTTTATTCATTATTTAGTACAAGTACTCGAAAATTGAACGTCACATTTCAATTAACATGAACGCTAACATTCATCATAGGTAGACAGATTTAGGTCTGATAAAATACAATTTGAAATCTATCTAATGTTAAATGTCAACGAAAACATTGGAATCGGAGTCAGAAATGCTCATCACAGTGTTGCTGTTACTACCATGAAAGCGGCAAATTTTTATGAAAACATCAGAAAACTACGAATCAGATAGATCTTGACTCTTTTCAAGTGAAATCTCATGAGACTAACCAAGGGAACATATTTAAGTATCCTCCTTGAGAAGAGGTTTCAAACCATTCTATTCGATAAAAATCTTGATGAATATCTCTAATATGAATATCTTAGGTGCTCTCGTTTAGATATGAAAAAAAAATGAGAGAATCAAAATTTTTCATTTTTATGCCTTTTCCTGCTTCGAAAACTGTACTATTTTCCCACTTATATAAGATTTACAAGAATGATTCATTTTTTTCATTGAACCAACATGAAAAGACATTTATTCGTCACAAAATGAGGATGTGTTGAATATGTTTTGTAATGGTTTTTGTTGTTTTGAATACTACATAATTGTTCGCCAGGAATGTTTCGAGTGCTCACCATGAAAAACATCTATATCATCTCGTGTCAGGCCAAGTAGTCCGTAAACGGAATATACGATGGTAAAAAAACACTTACGGCACTCTATATAGTGACCGTAAAAGAGTGGTTGTCTACTGCATATTTTACGCAACTCTATTTGAACATAATACGATCTGTAATACTATGTAAGTTTCATAGGGTAAAATATACTGATCCAGAAATAATGGGAAAGTTTTTGGAGCTTTTGGTTGCGAAATATTAAGTGATTTCACTCGAAATAAGTCAAATATTACCGCATTAGCTCTCGTTTTGCTTTTATTGCATAGGAAAAGCCTTTTTAGTTCTGATAACTGACATATACCAATAATTATTCTTGATAACATGGTCAGAAACGGGTGTAATACTATTATCCGTGATAGATAAATATCTGTTTCATGTCACATTCTGCTCATTTTTGACTGTTTTTTGTGAAAAAATTGATTATTCTTGGCAAATCTTACATAAGTGAAAAAATAGTACAGCTTTCGAAGCAGGAAAAGGCATAAAAATGAAAAATTTTGATTCTCTCATTTTTTTTTCATATCTAAACAAAAGCACCTAATATGTTCATATTAGAGATATTCATCAAGGTTTCTATCGAATAGAATGGTTTGAAGCCTCTTCTCAGGAAGGGTGCTTAAATATGTTCCCTCGTAAGATGAATTCAATGAACTAGTACCAATGTTTGTAGTCAAATATCATCAAAACAATGAAATCTGGAAATTCTCTTTTGCAAATCATCGTGGCAATGGCAAATTATAAGCCACGATCAACATCTCTGGTATAGATTCATTGCCAATGGAAACGGCTTAGACTCCCCGATTTTTAATTACAAATGTTAAACATTTTCTAAGATGCTAAGAAGAGCAGCACCCTATGAATTTAATTAGAAGTTTTCAACAGTATGACTATCTGAAGGTAGGAGTAACAGAAGAACTTCTCTTTACCTCTCAAATGTTCTAGTGAACTTTCTTCAAAATTCGATAAATTCACAAGACGAACAATAAATTCATTCCATGTATCTGCTTTGATAGCAAACGGTTCGCATAAAGCATGTGCGATAATCAACGAATTTAATATCATATTATTTCGTTCTTGTAATTGAAACTGTATCGTTAAATTGTCACGTAATTGTTGAAATCGATGTCGTCCATTTTTTGAGTACAAATCGAATGTTTTCATTATTTTAATTAGATTTGAACATTCATTTGCTGTTTTTATTAAATTTAAATGTTTATTTTTAATATTTCGAAATTCTTGGTTTAATATTTCGTAATCTTGGACAATTTTCTCCAAATAACATTCTTCATTTGAACGCAGCTGCTCAAAAGTATTCATAATACTAATATCATCTGTTTCTGACAGAATCTTGAATCTTTTAATACAATCGATAATAATATCAATATGACTATGATATTGATAGATTTGGAACCATTCACTGATTTGATTAATTCTTTCATCAGTAGGAATCACTTTGGACTGTTGTTCATTGACTGTTTGTAAATGAGTTAAGAGTTCCTTCACTTCGTCTCGAATATGTATCTGTTTACTACAGAAAATGTCTTTGAGATTAGCCATATCTGCCAATTTTATTTTACCATTGAATAATTTTTCAATAAATGGAAATACTTTTTCATTAATAGCTTCATTAAAGTTATATAATTCAATGAATCCATCTTGGTCTGCAATATCATTATGAAATAAATTGACTATGCCTTCAAATAATTGACATACTGGTAAATTATTCTTCTTGATTTGCCACCATATTGAACGAGGATTAAATCTTTCATTTTCGATCTCAAAGACTAATTGACCAGCATATAATGTTTTGAATTCTCCATGTAAGACAAACTTATCAATTGAAACATTTTTATTAGAAAATAACTTAATGCGGTCATGTGGTGATCCCATTCTTTGATACCAAATGTTAATGTCACTTGACCACTGCTCACTGGCCATAGACCAATAAACATGTT